GTCGGCAGTGACGTGAAAAAATTTTCAGTATTTTGTACCTGCCCGAAAATGGAACTAAAATTACCTTTTAATTCTTTATATTTTTGACAAGATGATATAACCCAAATTAAATAAATAGTTACCCGAAAATGGCACTTAAATACTTACAATTCCAAAAACTACCATATCCACAAGAGCCCCACCATGGTTGGAACATTTTAAGAATTTGACACTTTATAGATGCCCAAAAATGGCACTTGGATGGTAGAAATTTATGAAAACTACTACCCCTCAGCCCACCATGGTTGAGGCTGAGGTAAGACAATTGTAAGAATTAGGGACTTCCAGATACCGGAAAAGGGCACTTTAATACTTAAAATTTATGTCAGTTATTTTTTACATTTAAAAAGGGGCACCTTTTTTTTCAACTTCTGAAGGGGGCTCTCAGGTACCCCGAGCACCCCCTGGATACGCCACTGAAATTCATTTGGATAATGTTATTTTTATGTCAACTTACAGCAAGGCAATTCAACAGAAGGACGCACATCTCGGGACATTAAAGGTTATAACTCTGGCATCGACATTCTAGGCGCATGTGCGTCCCTACACGCTGAACGTCACAAAAACCATAGCAACCAGACCCTAAACCGTCTGCGTACATGTCGAATTACCCACGTGCGTGTTAGTTGCCATGATAATCGCGCGTTGTGCAGTGATTACAAAGGCCTAATGATATTTTGCACTAACGTTAGACTGAAATTATATTCTTCATTTCAACATTAATTTTACCGATATTGTGGTGTATTGTCGTTTATGAGACTTTCTTCGCAGAAAAAAATTAATAAATGTTCTGTATCTACTCAAATGTTCGTTTTGTACACCTTAGTCCAAAATTGTCTTAAATGACAGTTTAATGTTACATAAGAACATGCAATTTTATAAAATTTGTAAATTTTCAATTGCTATAACTTTTCATTTTCTTGGTCAATTTTCACAAATCAGTTTGCAGTTTATAGAAGCATTTAACAAGCTCACGGTCAAAAGAAATCAGATGTAAACAGATATTGCGAAGTTCCCAAAATTCATAAAATAGTAACTAACACCATAAAACGTATAGCACGCATAGACTAATAATTGACGGCTGTACTCACAACTAGTATCGGATTGTCGATGCCACAGAAAAGATCAGAGAACTGTACGCACACGCTATGTTCGAGAGCGGAAATGTGCGGCCTTCTGTTGAATTACCTTGCTTACAGTAATTTTCTGTTTTAATTTTATTTCTATATGCCTATATTGTTTTTAAACAGTTGAAAGCTTAGATTTACACAATTATGTTGTAGTAAAGGGTAACGGAAAAATAATGCTAGTCTTATGAATTTCAGAATATTCATTTTGGGCATATAATAAAATTATTGTTCTAATGAGGATTGAGGATTAACCTACAGTAAACATGCCGGTTTTTTGTCATCAGACCTGTTTAACTGTCTGAAAATGAGCACATAAATTGATTTTTTTTTTTTGGCAAACCATAGTTTGGGAAGCGTGGTTTTGCACCACTACATAATTGAAAAAAAATAGAAAAATTTGTTTGACCTCTGAAATAAAGATGGAAAAAGAAGAGCCTATCTAAATAGTGTATTAAAATTAATTATAAAATAGCCCTATGCAGTACAGTATAGTACTAGTACTACTAGACTAGTGTAACTGTTTCAGTTTCTGTATGACTTTCTAAACCATAGCTGGTAGTTTATAAAGAAACACTTACTATAGTACATAGTAGTTACAAATACTACTGAACTGTACTACATAGGCCTATTTT